ATAATAATATTAATAATAAACATTATTAATATTAATAATAATAGAGTTTATAATAATAATGATAATATTAGTAAATATAACACAATCATTCTAAGATCTATGATAATGAAAATAGAAAAAAAAAWTGAAATCAAAAGAATAGCTTGGGCGAATCTTTTTTCCAAAAGGAAAAAAAGCAAATGTTGTTGACACATTCTACGGAATCTTTCTTTCTTTTCACCTGTTCCACTTTCTAGWTTGAACTAAAAGAATTAATAATCTCTTTGTTCGATAGAATAGAACATGTTTGATTTAAGTTATGATGATTAAAGAGGGTCCTTTTATGATCTCCTGTGACTCTTCCTGCTGAGAAGAACAGGCAGGAACACTGGACATTTGTTATTTGTGACGGAACATTATGATCGGGAACGCCACGAGGCATTTTCACAGTTTCTCATGCTAAAGTCAAAACAAAGGAAGGGAAAAAGTAATTTCAACCTAAAATTGCAAATGACCTCAAAATGTCATTTCGATAAAATGAACGATTCGCTCAATCAGTGTCTAAACAATGACGTCATTAATCCAAGATGGAGGCAAAACAAGAAAGGGAGGAAAAAGWTCAGTCGAATCTCAGGGCTTGTGTTTTATTGAGATATTAATCAGAATTGACCACGTTATATTGGGAAGACGATTGTTTGTCAATTCGACTTCCCAGAGACACGTATATCTAAGCTTTGTGTCAGTAGTATGGAGCCGAAGAAAAGAAGAGATGAATGACAGGTAAGATGTCTGTCATGGTAATTTCTTGTTGCCTTGACTCCATAAGTACCAAGTCGCCGGTTTTTCGGGTCTACATTAATGAAGCTTTTGTATTTTAGGTCTATTTTTGTTATTMYTAACTRCCTATTTGATTAAAAAGCGAAAGTGAGCGAGAGTTAGAATTTTTTTGAATTATTTTTAATCATAATACTCCATTTTACAGTTCCGTTCGAGTGACGAAGAATAATATTTGTAAGTCGAGGCTGCAGTTTCCGCGCATAGCAAAACTATACTTTTTATCATGCGCGGAAACTCCAGCCTCAGCTTGAAACGGAACTGTAAAATGGATTATTACACAGAGCTATCAATACCAACCTTTTGCTTATGAATTCTAGCGAGTCTGTAACTGTGAGGCTTAGTTGTCTTAATCAACTCAAAACCAAACGAGGCGACAATGAATCATCAAAGAAACCTCTTCCCACTCGGTGCTTGTCAAGGACCGACGTTTCATTCTCAATGAAAGTTAAACAGCTAGATTACCAATTACTAGCTCCTAACGTGTGAGAAAAACTACTTATTAACTACCTTGTAATTGAAAAGTTGGAATAAATCAAGATAGTTGGATATTATCATTATTKTTGAAGTCTGAGTAATTAAAAATGTCAAGACTTCGCACAAAACGATCATGACATTCATCCCATTTGATGCAAAGTTTCAACCAGGCATCTTTCTGATATCCTATCCCATTGTTTTTATTCTGTTTATTGTTTTCATAATGAAGAAAGACATGATTTCCTAGTATTGCTCTTGTTCAATTAGCAAATTAGTCGGCCTGGACAGAAGTAAACACCTTTAATCAAAGGCTACAAACTTTGATTAGAAATTGTATTAAATTGGCAGTTGCTAAACATGTTAGTCTAACAGGACGATTAGAAGCTTAAAAGTTTGGACTGAGAAGGTAACGAACTCTTCTCTTAATTAAAAATACCATAATTTCAAGAATGTGCAGGCTCAGCCTCGCTTTGAAATAGAAAACAAAAGCAGAAATTATAATAGCAAAACAAGCAACTCCTGAATTCGACGCCAAGTTCGAACATTCTAGAAAGTATGGCATCTTTAAGAAACGTAAATTGAGTAAAGAAAGAAAAACAGCCAAAGATGTCGTTCGTGGAACATTATTCTTATTTCTTATTTATCTTTATGTGAGGTATGACATGTAAACGCAAAGGGTCTACAAGCCGTTACAAGAAACAAAATATGAAGCTACAATTGCGACTAAAGTTTTCGTTGAAGAAAGCACGGCAACTCTAAAGTATTAATCAAAGAAACCAGCTCTATTGACTTTGCATTCACTCTGGATCATTWGTTTGCTATGAACGCCGGAGTTTAAAAATAACAAATGGTCTAGTTTGAAAGCACACTGATTGCTTAGAGGTAAACACGCAAGTTATCTAATACAAAGTTTTTAAACAAACGCATATACCAAATATTTCCCCAAAAAACGTGTTTTAGCAATATTAGTAGGCATTGCCGATTAGTTCCGAAGGAAGGCTTCAAGAAAAAAATAATTCAGAATTTGTTATTCCATTGATAAGCGAATACGTGTTGTTTCTGTAACCAGTAAAATCCCCTTAATTGTGTGATAGTAATTATAGCGATATTTTTAAATCTATTTTTTTATTTCAATAGTTAATTTCATAATAAATCCTTTTGTAAATTGATACTAAATGAAAGATTCATTATTGATGAAACTAAATCCAAATTGCTATGACGACTTCAATCTATCTAATTTCTGTAATTTGACTTTAGTTGAACGCGTGCGCTATTTTCCCGCCACTTTTCATTAGATTCAATTGTGAGTGAATTAAACTGTGAAATATCTATATAAAAAATAAGAAATTAAAATTGTGGTTGTTTTMAAAAAAAATCATATTTTATACTAGAATCATGCAGCTTCATCTAAAACTGTAATTGAGATATTTTAAATCCGGCTCTTGAAAACCAGATACCGCTAGACGCGAGCGGCACCTTTTTCCCGCCAATGAGTTGCAGCTTTTCTTCACTAGATTTTTTTCTAATTTCGACCTTCAGTTAATGCAAGGAAATTGAACTCCTGAAGTTATTTGGACCGGAATCCGCTCGAGAAATTCTCTTCACCGATAAGACAGGATATTTTATACTTTGTTATGTTCGCACTGCATGCAKATTTACTGCTTTCGACGACTGTCTCAAATCCCTTCCTTATCGTAATAATCATCGAATATTTTACATCAAATACTTCGGTTATCAGACAGAAAAGCAATGAAAATATG